ACTTCCTTATTTGTGTAGCTACTCTCCAGATTGGTAACTGCCTTCCTATTGGCTGCATGCCAGAAGGAACCATTATCAGTTGTGTTGAAGAGAAGACTGGTGACAGGGGCAGGATAGCACGCACATCAGGAAATTATGCAACTGTYATCTCACACAATCCCGATACAAAGCGCTCGCGTATCAAGCTTCCATCAGGGGTAAAAAAAGTTGTTCCATCTGTAAATCGTGCTTTGGTTGGTATTGTGGCTGGTGGTGGTAGAATTGAGAAACCAATGCTTAAAGCAGGTCGTGCATATCACAAATACAAGGCCAAGAGAAACTGTTGGCCGCGTGTGCGTGGTGTTGCTATGAACGTAAGTGTAAAGATATGAAGGGGTTATAATTRCAATCAATGGCAATTGACTTACCTCAAGTTTTATCCCATATGATCAAAGACAGCATACAAATAATCAAAGGCATAAATAAATAATGTTTTTTATTGTGTGGGATGAAATTGTTATATAGAATTAACACTTGATGTGGCATACCTTKGATATCACACTGGTCACCTGCATTTTTGTCAGTATACTAGAAAATACAATTTAGCCGATATTCCACAGTATGTGACTTGAAACCATTTCATAACTGGTATTTATACCCTACCATGTGTGTCTGTGTTTACTGGCTTTTGAACCAATCAGGGTATTGTAAGTTCTCTTTTCTGGGGATCAGACACACTAGATCTTTTTWACTAAGACACACTGGAATTTGTTCCTGTCCATCATTGTTCTCCTTCTGTCAAGAGGAATCCATTTTAGGATTTATTTTAATGAATTTATTTTATTTATTTAAATATTGTATATTGTAATAGACACAAACTTGACACATCAGATCAGTGTTTGTACTGTGATGTCAAAGTGCMACATGAGAATTTGTTAAATGGTAGCRCATAGTCCWCAAAAGACAGTATGTTTTGAGTAAATGTTATTTTAGCTTACATAGATTAAATACTATTTCCTTTCAACAGCCTGTGGAACATCCACACGGTGGTGGTAACCATCAACATATTGGTATGCCTTCTACTGTACGACGAGACACATCAGCAGGTCGTAAAGTGGGTCTTATTGCTGCCAGACGTACTGGTATCATTAGAGGAGGAAAGAAAAACCTCAAGGAAGAAAAAGAATAAATCCTTCAATGTTTACAAATGTCCAATAAAATGTGTTGATGCAGTAGTTTGTGTTACTACTCTATATACTTTCAAAACTCTTGACTTTCCTTCTTTTTGATTAGATAAATTTATGAAATTCTCTTTCATGATCAATTTGCATTTTTTTAGTTGATAGTGTTGTAAGCCATGCAGACAACGTACCAACATAACAAAGGCTTCTGGAAAAGTATACACCTTATGTTCATGTTATTACGTTGGCCTTTTTTTATCATGATGCTCACACTAGAAACAATGGTCGATGTTTTAAAGGTTTTCCACCACAGACATTCCCAGGAATTGTCTATTTCAGGTAGATAACCTTTTCAAGATCTGCTGCATAATGTGTTACTATTGTCAAGTGTTGAACTGCAATGTTGCTGTAGACTACAAAAAAGTGCAATGTTTCCAGAATGAGGATTCCTTCACAGTGATATAGTGCATTTATTATGAGAAGCACTGTAACAGACAAAATACAAATTAGTTTTTTTAGTCAAAATAGTGAGCAATTTTGGCAATACCTAGCCTGTAGCAAGTGCCCCTGTGTAGTCACAGTGTAGGGGTTGCTTCTATAGGAGCCTTGGTAATTCCATGCTTTCATGTATTGGTGGAATGCATTTTCTGAATCTGCTCATGCAACTTTGAAACCGTTTGATACAGCATTTTCAATTCTAAGTTGTCTGTTTTTGTTTTGTGGATATAAGGCGAATAGATCTGTCCCATCTGTATCTAGCCTTTGTTCAAACCCAGTCTTCTTAGGTCAAGCACACAACACAGGAAGACCAAAAAATACGTTTCCGTTGGAGAAGCCTACTGGGGTACTAATGATAATGAATGGCTATCGTTGATAGTGTCTTTTCCTTTAGATTTAAAATTCATTCAGAACAACTTGGCAAAGCACGTCGCGCATCGTGCACATCTCCCCCTCTCGGCGACAAGTCTTTCTGTTGTGTCACGTGACTCTGTACCAAGCCTCCATTTTAGAACGAAGGCGGTTCATCTTGCTCGTCAGGCGAGGATCGAGAAAGCTATCAAAATCAAAGTTCTTCTATCATATTGAAAGGCTATTCATGAAAATCTTCAAGTCCAGTGTGGTTTACGCGGTTTGTAGGGACTGAGGTATGACAAAAATTCTTTGGCGTCATAGGAAATGACGATGTTTCACTGACACTGGCAACAGTACACCCAACCAAATACACAGTATGGCGTACGGCTTAGACGACATAGATTTGGCTTCTTTAAAGGTTCGCTGCTCTTGCATTCATTTCCACAGTTCTATATAATGACAACATTTCTTGGTGTTGCAGGAGCCTGCAGGTATCTTCGATCTAATTGAGGTTGTTGGCAATGGAACATATGGACAGGTCCACAAGGTACGGTAAAGTTCAATGTCTTTWGCTGTCTAGCTGCTATGAGATATAATGTATAGCAAACAGCAGCATCAGACTTCTATTTCTTTTGTCGCTTTCATGATATAACGTTGGTGCTCTTTAAATTAAATGTTTTGTTTCGTCTAAAACTGAAATGTGGGCTATTTATAAAAGTACATGTATTAATCAGACACACTTAGACGAAACCCTGTTTATAAACAACTGAGGCTGAATTTTACATTAGTTAGAATTCCAGACTTAATGTGTTGTATAAAATTAACTGAATTGATAAATTTAGAAAACCACATCAACTTATGTAGTTTGATATTCTGACTCAAACTTTGACATACAGTACAAAAGAGTCRCTTGTAGCTCATCATAAAATCTCACATTTCTATGATCACCCAAGTGCATTTTAGTGCAATTCCTATGCAGTAATGGAAGTTCTGAACGCTAAATATTCACAAAACGTTCAGTTTTGGTACATAAKTGACTGAGATTTCCGATTAGTAAATGCAAAAGCATCAGCATCAGCAGTTCTATTGTATTCTATTGTATTGTGTGGTATTCTGTTTTGTTGTATTTGTTMAGTGAATGGCAGTTTGGACTCCAGTACCTGTGATTCTATAAGTATTCTTGAAGTTCATTATATAATATTATCGCATTTGCTTTTTTATATGTAATACAATATTGGTTTAATATTATTGTTATTATCACGTCTTGGAATAATCAAACATGCAGGTAGTTATAGAACTGGAAGTTTTATCAACCACTTCTGAACATTGAATATTTGTGCTTGTTAATCTAAATATAGCTTTGATACAATAAGAAAATTTCAGTTTGATGTATTGTGTAACCCCTCATGTAAGTAAATCAATATCTCAATTTCAGACCCTGAAAGGTCTTTAATAGTCTTTTTTTGTTTGCTGTTTCATAACAGTTTCATAACAGTTTATAAAACTATTTGTTTATGGCAATGTTTCAGTTGCTGTATTGTTGTATTTTGTATTTTTTAAAACAACAAATCTGAGCCTAAAGGGTACACAGTCACTTGGAGACTAAAAAGCACACCTACCCATTTTTCAAGAGATACCTGTGTCCTTCCCATGGCACATACAGCATTGTTCAACAAACCATCACATTAGACAATTGACCTGATAATATTCGTCATTATTGAATGCTATTAAACAGAGCATCAGATATGTTGGACAATGTATGTCAAACATTCTATCAAACACTATTCACCAATCATTTCTCTTGTTTGATGTCTAATATGTTACAAAATTTCACTTACATAAGAATTTGTTTGTTTTGATGTTTACTGGATTATTCAAAAAAGCAAATTACAATGTATGTAATTACAATGTATGTAATTTCCTTGAAAGGAATATTAAGAACTAAGAGCTGATGATGTGATGTTGAGAGGTCAACTTTTTTGTTTCTCTCTTAATCTTAATTGCACATTTTGACTTTCTCAGGGCAGGCATAAAAGAACAGGTCAACTTGCAGCAATTAAAATCATGGATGTCACTGAGGTAAATTTGCTCATTAATTAAAATGTGAAAAATGATTTTCAGGAATATTACATAAAGAATTGTTAGATTTAGGGCTGTGGGCATAAAAAGAATGAAATTATAGGAAAATCAGATTCTGTAGTAATTAAAACTTTTAAACTTTGGCAAACTTGTAATTTTTTTATTTATTACTTTTTATTAGGATGAAGAGGAAGAAATCAAGCTTGAAATAAATGTCCTTAAAAAGGTTTGTCTAGAAAATAATGGCAAAATAAAATTGATATATTGTGTAATTGAAAATATAATCCAGATGATGTCATAAATGTAAGTGATGATTTGAAAATAAAAAAATGGATATTCTTTGATATTGCTCTGTTTACTGGATGATGTTTTCTTTTGAATCCTCTAGTTCTCTAATCATCGTAATATTGCTACATATTATGGTGCTTTTATTAAAAAAAGTCTTCAAGGACAAGATGATCAACTGTGGGTAAGTGACAACCATGCACACTAAAATGCATTCAGATTGTAGCAATGGTAAAGTACTCTTTACTTTTTTTGATTTGTTATAGTGTTTTTTTTGCATTAATGTAAAGAAAAAATGAAAAGAAAATGAAACCATGTGCTAATTCAATTAGTACAATGCAAATAAGCAAAGTGCTTGTTTACTGGAATTTAGGTTGTGAAAGCCAAATTTGTAATGACCTGCTTGTTTTGGCATTTAAATAACTGAGATTTTCAATAAAAGTGTGCACATYGTATAATTAATTATTATTACATGTATCTGTATTTAGAAATGACATTTTAGCTTTGTGGAGCATAAAGGAAATGTTGAAATACTGTARAAATACATGTCATTTTACTTATGACATTTTTTTAGCTTGTCATGGAGTTCTGTGGTGCTGGGTCTGTAACTGACTTAGTGAAAAGTAAGTTAGTGATTTTAGTTAAATGGTAGCTGATGATGACATCTAATGATTATATTAATTTGCATATTCAATAATGAATCTACATATATTTCATATCATTTATTTTGGGTATGTAAACCTTCATATTGCAGTATACAAGTCAGTGAGAAGGGTGGTCATGAATAAGACTAATGATTGAGACATCAAAATCAATCTAAATGTTACCAATTTGTAATATTATTGTAGATTTCATTGTTTCATTTCACTGTTACATTCTTCAGCTGCCAGACACAAGACATTAAAGGAAGAATGGATATCATACATTTGTAGAGAAGTACTTAATGTAAGTATTAGTTAACTATGTTAAAGCTCATCAAATTGTGTCATAAATGTCACCAGGACCAGCTAAACATTTCGCCCTTGTATACTTTGTCGGATTTCATGGGTTTGCTACTTATGTCATGAAAAAGTAATGCAGTTTGAATATTGCAGTGTATATTAAGCACTTACCATAGCTTATTGCTGTGTTCTGCATTGCAATGTGACCTACTCAGATAAACTTCACAAAAGTGGATCAAATATCATTGTCAATGTTTCGTTTTGCAGGGAGTCAGTCATCTTCATCTCAACCATGTCATTCACAGAGACATWAAAGGACAGAATGTCCTTCTGACAGACAGTGCAGAGGTTAAGCTAGGTAATGGAAGCCACTAGTAGATATAGTGATCCTTTGTCAGTATTTATTATATTGTTTTSTATCTTTTTAGTTGATTTTGGTGTTAGTGCTCAGCTTGACAGAACTATTGGAAGAAGAAAYACATTCATTGGCACCCCATACTGGTGAGATTCTATTGTGTGCTATTGGATTAATAGGGGGATGGACTTAGTGYTTTTAGAACAAGGGTGAATAGCAGTAAGGAGATTATTATAGTTTATTCRCATGTGGTTCAATGGTACAAGTTGAGCAATAACCATTGCAATACATAATGTGAATACAAATAAATACTAAAACTTCTTTTATTTTTAATGCTAATGCAAATTGTGACAAGTTGGCAATGTCTTTAAGAATTGAGAAATAACTATGAGATCATTGATTATAGGATGGCTCCAGAAGTAATAGCTTGTGATGAACAGCCTGATGCCACTTATGATAACAGAGTATGTGTTATACAGCGTGTCATTTCTATTATTCTTTAATAGTTGGTCTACTAAACTGTGCCATATTGAAGTACAAACATGGACGATATCATTCAATCCTATCTGCANTGTTGTTTGGTAACATAATATAATATATATTTTACTTCCGGTCACTTTCTATTGTCCTCTAGGCCAATCAGTGTTTCGGCCATTAAACGGCCGCAGAACACAGCTCTCGATAGAAGATTGTGTCAGGCTCTCTCTCCTTTCTCACTCCACCCCAAACCCCTTAGAGAGAGCCTGATACTCAGGCTATAATTAACATGAATTGCAGTGAGATAAATGACGAAAAATGACGAACAAGTTAACTGCTGAGTTTAGTCCCTATTAGTTTAATTTCCTTTTTTTTCTCTCAAAAATGTTCCCAAAATTCAGGGTGCGGCTTATCTACGAGATCTATCTATAACTTTCTTACAGTAGTCATGATATTTGTTGTAGTGTGACATGTGGTCTATTGGTATAACAGCAATTGAAATGGCAGAATCACAGCCACGTAAGTATGATTAACATGTCTGAATATCCAAATGAACAAGAGATTGTTGGAAAGAAGAGTTTYTCTTTTCTGTTTGTTGCTATCTTGTTAATTGTTTGYATTTTTTCTAGACCAGTAATGCCATTTAAWTTTTTTGGTAATTAAGCATTAAATCATACAGTTCAAGACACTTGAAAGAGAGCAATGGAAAGAGAAGCCTGTTTCTTTGACAAAGATARAAGCATGTCATAAACTGTTATGATGTTTTGATAAAACATAAAACAAACAAACATTAATATGATTCATTATTTTACAGCACTCTGTGATATGCATCCCATGAGAGCACTTTTCTTAATCCCAAGAAGTGACCCACCAAGACTCAAGTCCAAAAAGTCTTGGTCTAAAAGATTTCACAACTTTGTTAATACCTGCTTAATAAAAGATTAYCAATTCCGTCCGACTGCTGACCAGCTCCTGCAGGTAGGTTAACAATATACTGAACAGTTTCCTGGCACATTGGTGACATTAATACCAAATACCATTTCAAGCCTCACCTGGAATCAACTCTACAGAAACACTAAATTGAGATATTGAAATTAAATCAAACAACATTAGTGAACTAAAAGGAAAGTAATTATTATAATATGAAAAGAAAAAAAAGTAATTCTTACAAATGTACCTTTTGAGATATTATCTTCAAAAAAAGTTAGCAATAAATTTTACACTGACTGTTGATACCAGCTCATTCATWATTATTCACTCAATTCTTTTTCAGCATGAGTTTATCAGAGACCCCAGGTCAAAYGAACGAAAAATAAGAATAGAATTAAAAGATTTTGTTGACAGAATGAGGAAAAAGAAAGGTATAATTTTGTCTTTTTCTTTGGCTCACTTGATTGCTAGTTTTTTCATTCACTTCATATGTCTGTAAACTATGTTAGGTGGCTTTACAGAACATGATGGCCCTGAATATCAGTTCTCTGGTAGTGATGATGAAGATGAACAACTCTTAGCAGAGCTTATTGCAGAGGACATGGGGTATGATTATATCATGATGCTGAGTTGTGACAGTAAAAATAATTCCATAAGGTTTATTAAGGAAACATTTTAGGTCAATGGTCAGCAGGGTCACCTGAGTGATACATTAATATTTGAAATGTTGGTGGCAATTGTTCTTGTGATTGTAACTGTATGCTGACTAGTACTTTTTCCAATTTTGTAGTCTTGACAATGCACGTTCAACATTGAGAAGAAATTTAACCCTAATGCAAGGAGGTACATATAAAGGTAATGCATCATCAACGGTAATGCATCATCAAATGTAATGCATAGAGAACAATCAGTCTTTGATTTGTTGTACTTGATTTATGCAGGTAATCACGTCCAAGAACCTCGCAGAAACAGCAGTACCAGTAGTCCAGTAAGTTTTCATGAATGTAATCATTTACAAAACACAGAAATAAAGTTAAGGAGGCGATGGAAATTTTATTGCATATCTCTCTAATTCAATGCAATCAATTTCATAGTTTCTGCTAATACATGAAAAAAAGTGTTATGAGTTCTGGACATTAAAAAAACTATGCTTTTAGGAAAGAAGACAAGGACCATTTAATTATCCAGGGACAGGAGTTTATGATAATGAAATGCATCCRAACTACAATTTAGAAGCAAGTCAGGAAAGTTTTGCCATGGGGCATATGGATTCCCCACAGTACAACAGACCAGGGTAAAATTAGATTTGCTCCTTTCTATTCTGCACTTTACCTAGTATTACTGCACTCAACTTATGATCATGTTCCTTGCCTTATAAATATGGATGTCYAGCACTTTGGTATCTGCACTTCACGGTTTTACTATTTAATTCTTGCCATTATGTGTTTCCTGAAAATATCCTTATGCGACCCTTATGCCCCTACCYCTCCCCTATGGATCAAATTGCAGAAATTTAGAGGGTTGAATCATGAGTGGTACAGAAATTTCARTGAGTTCAGATTTTGTTATTATTTTATGACTGGAAACTGCAATGTGCATGTAGTCCAGAAATGAAATACTGTTGTGGTGATAGTTCCATGATATACAATAACAAAATTCTGAATCAATC